GTTCTTTTTAGTTTGGCCACCTGCTGTTTTCTAAGTATTTACCAGTCAATTTTACTGTCTATAGTCTAAATAGACACTCGCTGGCGCGAGTGTCTATTTACCAGACACTCGCGCCAGCGATCTGCCGCGCCGAATCGTCCCGCACGTCACGTGATGCGGTACGCATAGCACCATCTCCTTGTAGCTGCGTCCACGACAATGTACAAGTAGGTGAAAACCTTCCTAGCCCAACGCTCCTCCTCCATTTCTCTCAATCGCTTCTCAAATTTTACCTTGCTGCTAGCTTCCCTGCCCTCAAATGATGTCCATCCCATATCACCTTGTACTCCCTGATTTGGTGTATTCCCGTGAGCTCCTAAAGCAAGCCTACCTATTCCACGTTGCTTAATTTCTAATCTTGCTTGAACTTCTGATCTCATGCACAAGACCGCATTGACGAACGTGAGACCAGGAACCATGACACCTTTCCATATTCCTCTCACAACATCATACCTATTGTAATTCCACAGTGCCCTATTTTTCATCACTGCTGCATTCCTGTTACCTTTAGTCGTCACGTATATTTCGTGTTCCCTCAGGTACTCGGTCCCACTGCTTACACATACGCCCAGATATTTGTATTTATCTGTTATCTCTAGCGTGACCTCCTGTATTCTAAGCTCACAACCTTCGTTGTCATTGAAAATCATGACTGCTGATTTTTCCTTACTGAATCTAAAATCTAACCTATCTTCCTCATCACCGCAGATGTCCATCAATCTCTGCAAATCTTCCTTGTTGTTGGCCATTAGCACTATATCATCTGCGTACATTAATGCTGGTAGTGCCTGATCAATAAGTTTTCCTTGTTTGACTAAAGAGAGGTTGAATCCCAGTCCACTTCCCTGTAATTTGGCCTCTAATCCTTGTAGGTACATAATTAATAATAAGGATGACAGGGGACACCCATGCCTAAGTCCCCGTTTTACTTCTGCAGGCTTGGATACCTGTTTTTCCCTGTTGAATAGGTCTACCTGTTGAATAGGATACCCGTTGATTATAGGGAGCCTACATGAACGGCCGTTTTTAGGGTGATGTCAGCCTTTGACCCACTACATGCCGTCAACGCACCGCCGCCCGCCAAAACACAATGTTGCCAGGCAGCAACGCCGCGCTGTCGCCCCATCTTGGTGCCCGCACTGCGTCTACGCCCGGTTGCGTTTAGTTCTCAATAATACGGCGTCGAACGTTGCGGTAGCGTGTTAAACGCTGCCGGTGAAGCCTTAGAATGCCTGCATGCTGCGTACCGCTCTGCACTAACCACAACAGAAAGGGGGTGCGAATGTTCCGCTTCCCAGCGAGCCCTGGCCGACGACAACTATGGCTGGCTCAAGTGAAGCGAGACGGCTGGGAGCCCACCAGTGCGTCTCGTATTTGCTCTGTGAGTACTGCGTATTTCTTTCACTGTTTTTTCCTGCGGCACACGTATATGTGTTTCGCGGTGTTCGCGAATGAGTAGATAACCGAAGTTGTCATTGCTGTGTCCACGCATTGCGAGTAGGAAGCCCACAAACGGGACGCGTCCGCGCGTTCGTACGGAGACGCGCTCGCTAGTCTGAGCTGTCGCCACGCTTGCGTTCGTGTCAGCGTAACTTCAGTATTATGTCGCAAGTGTTTGTGTGTGGGCTGCGAATTTCTTCGTGCGCTCACTTTGAGAACTGGGTCGCTTACACGACCCTGAGAACCGCCGCTGTCAAAAGCCCAGGTGTTGTGTGTTGTTACAAGGGCTGGGCACCGACGCCGTACGTAGGTATACATGCTCGGTCGCCTCCCTACAATAATGCTGAATAGTCCAGCTGAATTAAATTCTAGCTGTTTGTCGCAAATGCATCTGCAGTCAGATGCCAGATGAGTGGTCGACACTGTGTTGACGTGCTGGAGGGAGCGGCGGCTGGCTCCAAAATGGCGGCGCACAGAAAACTATGCTGAATTTGGTGGAAGCTGGCAACAGCGTGCCCGTTGCCCGCTGGTTTTGGCTGAGTTTCTTGAAGGCACTTATTAAGATGTCTCCACCCTAAAACGGCCGTTCATGTAGGCTCCCTAGGTGATTAGGTCTACCAGCGCCCTCTCTAGGTCGAATAAGTTAGTTCTCAACGCCACCGCTACTCTCTTTTTCGTTGCATCGTCAAAGCATAGCCTCCTATATACTTTCTGTGCCCGCTCGAAGACAGCGCCTCCGTCCACGCTCTCCCACCGGCTGACGCCAATGCCCAAGAGATAGCGCTACCAGCCCTGAGGAGCGTGAAGGCAGTTTGTTTTGAATCGCCGCAGGCCGCAGTCGATGTGCGCGTTGTGTTCCCGCGATTGAAGAACTTGTGCGTGTTCTCGTGATGCCATGGCCTACTGCTGTGTTACAAAGTGAAAATCTGATGCGAAACGTAAGGTACCGCGCATTTCGTTTCATGAAATTTCTAGTGACAGTGAAGCGAGGGCAGCCTGGTTGAAAGCCATCGCTAGGAAAGACTGGATGCCGAGCACGACATCACGCTACTCCGTTGTGTGCCGACATTTTCTCCTGACGGACTACAAAGAAGGATGTAAAACTCGAAAAATCAAGAGGAGTGCAACTCCCAGCGTGTTCTTTGACTACCCGGAGTACATGCAGCCGAAGAAACCGTGGAGTGATGCGGCTGCGAGGAAACGAGCGCTTGCTACTGACAACGCTGCTGCGCGGCCTCTCAAGACAAGGACTGCAACAGGCCTTTTTGTTGGAGCCGATGAAGACACCGTGCCCGCGGATGGACTTCCTTCAATTTTTAGCTCTCCGGGTCTCGCAGAAGTTCCGTGCTTCACCGTACCACTACAAGTTTAGGTGGATGCTCCTTCTGAACCTACCTCAAAGCACGAAGCCACCCAGGCACTTGCTATGGTGGGAGGCTTCGTGGCCCGTGTCATACAAGAAAAGATTGCTTGCAGCTCCTGCATTTCAGTTGTCACAAAGCCAGCGTCCTCAGCCCCCATTGACAGTCTGATTAGGCAACAAGACAGAGGTGGGCTACTGTACCCCTCAAGTGAGCTTGTTCATGTTTTGTACGCGCTAAAAAAGTACACTGAACTCATTTTAAGCAAGCGCAGAGCAATACCAAGGCCTCTGCAGGAAACAGTCAGCAATGCTGTTTCTGCTGTGGCAAACAGTGAAGTTTTAGATGCGGAAGCATCTTATACTCGCGCCTTGTAGTGCGCCGTCCGCACCGCTTCTCGAACATTCGACAGCTGACGCGCGCGCATGCGCCGTCGCGCCGTCGCCCATCATCTGTGCCGCGCGCGCTTCTCCTTCGAGAACATTCGACAGCTGACAGCGCATGCGCCGTCGCCATCTGTGCCGCGCGCGCGCTTCTCCTTCGAGAACATTCAACAGCTGACAGTGCATGCGCCGTCGCGCTGTATATATACTCAAGGTCGGCGCTCGCTCGCTCGCTCAGTTGCCGCTCGTCGGTTGGTTTGTACGGCGCGTCGACGTCCAAGGTCGCGGTGAAATGAATTCCAACGAATCCACAAACACAATGATCGACGTCCCTTCGACCAGCGCCGTCCTTTCGCATACGTGTGTACGTGTTCACTCATTTAACACCCCCTCCTACAACCACGTTAACCAATTTAGCCATCGACCCAAGTAAGTCGCAATTTAACACCCCATTTCACAACCACGTTAACCAATTTAGCCTTCGACCCAAGTAAGTCGCACTTTAACACCCCGTTAACCAATTATATGCTCCGCATCCTCCTCAGTGTTCCCCCGAGGGAAGCTGCGGGTAATTTTTTTAAGCATGTTTGCATTGAGCACCGCTTGCAGTTTCCGGAGCTTGTTTGCATGAAATTTTGCAAGCCTGTGTTCATGAACTACGCCCTGGGCGTGACTGACAAACACGATGTGAGGAAGGCACTTCACCACAAGCCCTTGTCGAGAAAAGTTCTAAAACTGTGAATTGTGTTTTTGCAGCTGCTGTGACTGACTGTACTATTTTTCTTTCATTGATGTTAGGAATTTCCTATGCAACATATGCATCTTCAGAATACCAACGAAATAAAAGTTGATGTCCAGAACAAAGTAACAAGTGTTGTCACTTGAGTTCCGGGTTTTACTGCAAAACCGCAATGAAAATGCGAGGCATGCCGTAATATAGGACTATGGATTAATTTTGATCAGATGCGCCTCTTCACCGTGGCCGTCAAGACTGCGCGCTGGCAGGAAACCTGCCAGCGCGCAGTCTTGAGGCCATGTTTAACGCACACGTAAAAAGGCCATGTTTTAACGCACCGTACGCAGAATGTTTGCATTTCATATTCCTCAAAATGCGACTTTGAGGCTGCGAAACCAACCCGCAGCTTTGTGCTTCGCAACGTAATCCCGCTAAAGTAAGGAGCCGTCAATTGGTGCTGTCATGTCGCTTTCTTATATATTTTTAAAGCGGCGAGCCAGCTACAAGTATTGTGGATTCACCTATGAACCTCTTGGCTTCCGGGGACTTAGTATCCTTGGGGACAAGTATGAGTTTAGCGCATCAGTTTATCGTGAACACGACGCAGCGCGTGCACAGAGAACGCGATACGCAATCCGCATACATACGCTTATGTTTACTTGTATGATGCATTTCTACTAACGCTAATGCTTGCTGACGATGGTAAAGTTGTCCAGTATGAATATAATAGTGCGTTTTTACATTTGCGTCGAAGATATTTATGCTTTCTGGGATGCTCACTGAGTAAGCAGAGAAAATACGCATCGTCTGCACTGGATGGATGGATGGATGGATGCTATGAGCGTCCCCTTTATAACGGGGTGGTGACAAGTATGCCACCAGGCTCGACAAAAAAAAAAAAAAAAACACCTTTTTTCTCTTTTTTTTGCACTCTCCAGGGCTGCCGGCGCCCCCTGTCGGCTCGGCTCGAACTAGACGCGACGGTGCAATAGAATGGAAAGCGCGGGGATCGAGCAGGCACAGAAAGTATATAGGAGGCTATGGTCAAAGGTACAGTTTCCGTTCTCCAAGTGTTGTTTTGTGGCAGCATGGTAGGTGTATGTAGGTGTTCTGTGCTGTAGCAGCGGTCGCATGCTCTTCGTTCCTTCGACATGAGGGACCTGCGGAGGCAGCGATGTTCAGTCGTTGGATGCAGACCGAGTGACTGGACAACGGAGCCGCGTCGGCACCAAGTGCCTCGCGGTGGGGCCCTACGCACTGCGTGGCTGGAGAGAATCGGCTATCCGGTGACGCACAACGGGAACCTGTACGTTTGTGGTCGACACTTCGCTCCCGAAGATTACACCATTTACCTTCGGCGGGTGGAGTCGATAAACTTCAAATCAATGCTGAGGCAGAAAGCTGTGCCGACGCTTCACCTCCCCGTGAGTATATAGTGCTGATTTCTAGAAACGATTTCACCAGCCTCACATGTAATAATTGAAGCAAGGTTCTGTTTGGCCATAGTGTACTAGAATATGGGGTAGTGTGTTCAGGCACCTTCTCTCGCCATGCATCGCGTGAAGCGGCGCACGTGGACAAAACATCGGTTGTCAAAGCGGCGCTGCCGTAGCATGGTCTGGCACAACGCCTGGCAGCACGGAGAAAGGAAATGTAGGAGAGGCCCTGACGGCACTCGTGAAGCCGCATGGAGGAAGAAGAACTGAGGAGAGTGGTGGTAGTGGTTACAATGAAGAGGAAAAAGGCACCTAATTTCTGTCTGCCTTCAGGCGACACGGCGCAGTGCCTTATAGGGGTGGGGGGAAGGAGGGATAAAAGAATAGAAGGAAAGTAGAAGCAGAAGAAGACAGCCAACGAGAGGAAAAAAGAAGGAGATAGGAAAGTGGGGATCCGGTCGAAGCAGTCCAAGGGCGGGGTGCCACAATGCGAGAGCTACACGGCGTCAGGAGACCGCGGAGGGCGAACCAGTCGGCGGGAGCTACGCTGAAGTCGGAGATCGCGAGGGCACAACCGTCCAGCTTGAAATCCTGCGAGCGAATCCACTGAGGAGAGGCCCTCGCTACAGTGGCGAGGCCCTCGCTACAGTGGCTAGAATAGGAAAGTGTGACGAGCGGTAAGCGGCGCCTACGGAGCGCACTGAAGCCTCCGAGGAAAAGCCGCGTGGGAGAGCGCGCACTCGTTTAAACGTCGTTTGCACGTTTCCGACAGTTTCGTCGGGCGCGTTCGTCCTCGTTTTTTTTTTTTTTTTAAATTGCGGTGGCACTCTGACACCAGTGCTTCTGTATGCACTCTGATGCACTCTGTGTCGTCGTTTTGTTCTCGCGCTATAACTATCATCATGCCATACCAACTAGCCCAAGCTGCCACACTTCTGCGAAAACAAAGTTATTGCTTCGTCCCCCGGGTTCACTACAGGCTATTAGTCAGCTGAAAAGAAGCATGCGTTGTTCGGCGTTCCAAAAGACGAAGCTCTGTTAGCGCAGTGGCGTAGAGCGATCCCGCGCGCTGACAAGCTGCTTCAAAATAACTCGGCTGTGTGAGCTGCACTTCAGCGAGAGGTACATCTCCCGGCACTTCGAGCACACTTAGATGGGCGAAACTGTCCGCATTGAAAGGGGTACACCCATGGGCTTGCCGTTCAAGGAAGGGGGGGGGGGGGGGGGAATGTTTATTGCAAGGCGTCTCCTTTATACTAAATCAGTGTATGAGGCAGATTTTACGCCACCCATCTAGATAGAACAGATTTAGCGCCCCCGTCCCAGGTGGCCAGCCCCCTTTGCCTCCCTCGTGTGGACGCCTATGGGTAGGACTTTAGGAGAAGCTCTTCGCATTTGTCGACGCATTTGAAATCACTTTTTCAAAGTGCTTTAGCTACAACGAGCTTCACAGTGACAGCTTGGAAGAGCTTGTTTCCTGCTTGAAAAAAAAAAAAAAAAAAAAATGTCACACTGGGCTGCACACAACAAGTTCCGAGCTTCACCAATCCTGTAAACAAGTTTTTTTGCTCACCCATTTGCGTTTTTACACAAAGGTACTCCACAAAACGCGAGCATCTTGTGAAAAGAGGAAGTGCCTGAAGCTCAGGCACATAACCTAGGCTTGCAGCCCAATGTTTTGTGGGGCGCTTGTGAACTAATAAACTTTTTTCTTGGGGATAAAAAAAAGGACGTGCAACAAATTATTAAGAATGCATTGTTGTAAACAGATAGTGAGTCACTACTCGGAAATGTGTTCTATCACCTGTGTGCAGAAATTAAAGGATTTCATTCAGACACCGCTCGTGGTTTTCGCCTCATGATTATGACGCTTTGATTGATGAGGTTATATTTACAGGTTTCAGATTTTGGTGCGCGTTAAAGAAACCCAGTTGGTCGGAATTTCCGGAGCCCTCCACTACGGCGTCTCTCATAATTATACGGTGGTTTTGGGACGTTAAACCCCACATATCAATCAATCATCAATCAATTATTCACAGATTAGTGCTTGAGAAAATGGTGGTTCGCCGTGAAAAGTGTTGCGAGCAATGGCTCACAACTGAGCTCATCGTACCACTCTTCTACCACTTCTCATCGATAAAATGTTTCAGTACCGTTACGCGCTCACTTTCGGCATCCTGTCGACCTGACGATATTTCAGATCAGTCGTGCACCCGCATAGGCATCCTGTTTTTCAGAAGCTAATTAACATATTTTCTCGGTCGCCTTTTGAGGCCATCCACGAGCAAGAAAATATATTTTAAATGTTTCACATTGCCCCCGCGCGTGGTAGATTGCCGTCTCTGCGCAGCGCAGCGCCGCCTTAGGTGACGTGCAAGCCTGTGCCAGCGCCATCTGGTGGTTTCCTCCCAAGGCGTTCTAGCCGGCGCATTCATCACACTTCCCTATTCTAGCCACTGTACCCTTGCTATCCAAGCGGCAGCATAAAAAAAGTGTGGCGGAAGTCACGTGCTTTTTCGAAATGGTTGCTATGGCAATGTAGACACGATGTTGATGCCCCGTCATGGCCCCGTCATCTCGCGTCGTCGGCAAAGCACACCTTTGATCGACTTGTTGTCTGTGATTCTGCATTTTTATGAGAGTTGTGTTCGCGGATGACGTAAGGTTCTAGAAGTTCATCCTACAGTGAATGTATGTCGTCACGGTTGCATGCGCAGCATTCAGCGTGCCACCGCGAGGGGTTTCGAAGCCCACGACAGCGTCTCCGAGAAGCCTTCGCGCTGCAACTTCGCTGTTTGCCATCGACACTTAGCTGGTGCGCACCTAAGCGATGAAAGGATACATTTCCGATAACAGAACGACACCTCCGGTGGCTCTTAATGTTAGAGACAGTGGTGACCCGTTTCCGTGCGCGATGGTGACGATTGGAAAGCATTGGCCTGGTGCTCTCACTGAACGCTGCATCATCAAGCGTAGAAACGACGTGCCTAACCCAATTGTGTTTGACACGAGAAGGCGATTTGAGAAGCTGCTTGTCGTGTTCAGATTCCATTACGTCTTAGTGGAGGTGGTTTTATATGGGCCGAAGTTCTCTTCGAAGCGGTCGTACCCTAACGTCCGCCCTGCCCCACTGAAGTGCCGCCACGTTGGTGTGATTGTATGAAACTCTATGGTGCGAATGTTATGACGCACAGATGCAAAGGATAATGTAAAAGGTGAAACATGCTTCTATGGGGAAAGGCCAATGCAGATGGCACTGTTAAATTATGTCGCGTGCCCTTCACTTACCGGTTCACCTGAAAAAAAAAAAAGTTCACGGCGATTACCCTACCGAGTTGCACAGTTTATTTTTTTTCATTCAACTCAATAGGCTTCAAGCACGTAACTGGCAGCTTATTTGAAAAGCTCAATAGCAACACTTGCACTCAATAAAACTTTGTTCTATTTCCTTTACACTCGCCTGGGCAATATACGCACGTATAAATATGCAGTCAATTTTCATGCGTCTCCTATAAAGGTTGAGCATTTAAATCTGCAGCACGCGCATCGTTGCGGTTTCTCATGGCAGCAGGAACGGCATCCTTGCGAAGGTGAACTGCCACTGGCGCGGCCCGTTTGAAGTGCTCCGGTAGGAAGAGTTTTGAGCTTACAAAAGACCATTTCGTTGGTTCCCAATCGCATTTGGCGGGGTCTAATGACTTCGACTCTGAGCCTTCATCGATGGGGTTCTTTGGGAAACCTTCACGAAAGCAATTATAAATGTACCCAAATTCGCTGCCATCATTAACACGTCATTAATCAATGGAAACACGAATGATATCACGACGCATACAAAGCGAACGAAAGAAGAAACTCTGGCGCTAGCTGTGCCATTTTGTCAGCATCGTGGTTAATTGTGCTGTGTTTTATTGTGTTCAAGAAATGTCACCAAGAGCTGTAAATAAACTCCAGGAACACTACGCTGACACATGCAGTGTGTCACTCTCTCTCCGGCTCGGAAAGCACGGGAGCTGCGCAGCGCACGTGTCGTGACAATCGAAACTAATGAAACGGGGGCTCAACACTGGGCCAGCACAACACCTTCTGCGAAATCATTTCGTCCCAGTATTAACAGCGGGTAACAGCTCACCGACAACGAAGCAAGTACAAGAGAATGTGCGCTAGATGCACTGACAGCGGCAAGTGTTTTCACGACATTAATTCAGAAACTGTACAGACAACACGATCGGTCGTGCACTTTTTACGGTTGCATTCCGTCACGCGGCTGACGCAGCGTCCAGCTCCTGTGTCCGTGTTCTGTGTGAAACTCACCGGCGTCAGCATTCTGCGACCATGATGACTTTGAGCACGGTGCAAGTGACACTTGAACGCGGTTGCTGTTATGTTAAGACTACATGCAATGCTGGGGGAGAGTATACGAAGCGGAACAGAAAAGGTGTTGTAACACGCACATGAAAGTTGTCACTGTACACACACAACACGAAACTACGTATGTGCACATGGTCATCATTGCGGCTTCCGGGGCACAACAGTTTCGTGCGTTGCCGCAAGCAGGAGCACTGCCCAACTGTCACTGACCTGCAAGGCGTTCGTCGTCGTTCCGCTTCGTCATGGTGCCCAATGCGATTTCGTTGAAAACTAATTGCTTCATCTGCCGCACGACACATGGATATGCACTCGTTCTACGCCCTGTTGAAACACCATGATGGAAAAAAGAATTTGTATACGTTGCTAAGAGTACAGTGACTGCCAGGAGAACACTGCGTAACTAATAATGCAGTGCAGAGCACGGATATTGTCCCCCACGGCTCAGCACGAGACGTGGGGAGGAACACATGCCGCTGCTAGCCGTGGCCGCTCACTGTCAGACCAGCTCCACTGCGCAACACGTAACCATAGCAACGCCACCATTGTGCCCAGTGAATATGGCCCCCATGATGTCATTTCTTCCACACTTTTCACATAGCGCGCCGGCTAGGCATGCCCTC